ACACAGGAATGTAAAGGTATTCACGGCAACCCGTCAAAATAAAAGTTCGGTTTAACTTAAAGGCATTGCGGCAGAAATTGTTCAGTAGAATGTACGTAATAGGCTGCTACTAAAATTATTAAAACCTTATTATTAAGGAATAATCATACAATATTTCTTTAATGTTTTAATTGTAATATTAAATCCCCTTTATTTTCCAAAAAAATTTCTGTTTAATTTATTACTTAAAAGATAGATTAAATACATTTTATTCCTAAAAAAATAAAAATAAAATAAAAATAAAAATAAAAAAGTGAATACTCACAGAATTTCTAAGCAAAAAAAATCATAAGGCTATTGTAAGAATAAATTAAACTTGTTTTTATGCTTTCAAATAATTAGACATGCCAAATCAGAATTTGGTAACAATAAAACATAAGGTTGGAAAAATAAAACATTTCATAGGGCCCTAAACATGTAATTTTTGTTAAACTTTTAATAAATTGATGTTTAATTTTTTAAGTTTCATGATTTTAACTAATTAGACATGCTTTTTGATTAATACAATTTTTTGTGTGATGGGAGGGAGTGTCTGTACGCTTTGCCTGCTGAAGTGCAGATATTGGTAATGAGGATTTGCATTCGACTTAAATTTAGCAGTTTTATTTTGGTAATATCAGTCACTCTCGCTGTGCTGTTTTGATGCGGTCCGGTGTGCGACCGCCTTAAGGCTGGATAGCCTCTTGTTTCAGAGGTGGAATTGTCAAAGATGACTTTTAGAAGAGGATAGGCTGGTAGTTTTTCCCCCGACGAGGGCTTAGGCTCAAGAGTCACGGTTCGCTACTGGTTTAATGTGGTTTTAAGTGATCGTAAAGCAGATTCAGTTTTAATGACAAACATGCGTATTAGCCAAGGCAAATTAATAAAAGAACACAAGTTATACAGACACTCCGTAATTAATGATATGTAATTTGCATTTGGTTTATAAAAGGTCTTTGGACTGAATTTATTGCATTTACACCATTTTGACCAGCAGATGTCATCGAAGTATCATGTTAAAAGCACTTCAAAACAGTGAATCATTTTGCAAAACAACTGAAACACTTATGAATAATGTGCTCTGAAAATATGTGTCCCTGCAGCACAAAAGCAGTGTTGAGTCGCTGGGGGATATTTGTAGCAATAGCCAACAATACATTGTATGGGTCAAAATTATACATTTCTCTTTTATGCCAAAAATCATTAGGATATTAAGTAAAGATCATGTTCCATGAAGATATTTTGTAAATCTCCTACCGTAAATATATCAAAACTTAATGTTTGATTAGTAATATGCATTGCTAAGAACTTCATTTGAACAACTTTAAAGATGATTTTCTCAATATTTAGAGTTTTTTGCACCCTCAGATTCCAGATTTTCTAATAGTTGTATCTCAGCCAAATATTGTCCTATTCTAACAAACCATACATCAATGGAAAGCTTATTTATCCAGCTTTCAGACAATGCATACATCTCAATTTTAAAAAATTGACCCTTATGAAAGATCGCGAACACCAGGGTCACGTATGATAAATGTCCAGTGCAATCCTGCATTGGCTGTTCTCACTTCTTTCTTAAATGTTCAAAATCTCTGAAGTGCAAACGGTTCTGTCGTCACACATTCACACTTTTGAGTCATGATTGGTACCAGCTCTCGTCTTGGTCTACATTCAGATTTTACGGTTCATCTCTATATTGAGTCTTGCAGGTCTGTGCTGAGATTTGTTGCACTTAACTCTTTTTCCTAATGCTCTTTCTTCTCATTTTCCCACACTTATTTCTTAGTTGACTTGATTAATCAACACTCATTCCTTTAACACGTAAGCACACAACATTAATTCACACTCAAGCTCTCAGTTTTTCTGTTGAACCAGTGCTCCGCAAGCTGAGAGTTTTTAAAGGCTCTCATTAACCCTGAACACCTGCCTTCACTAATCAGCCCAACCAGAACCAATTAGCCCGTTAATGGACGTATGTCCCAAACAAAAGGGATTTAAAAGATTTACGAGATTTTCGAAACCGAATGCAACCTTGCTAATCAAAAATACGGTCAATGAACATTTTTGACTTTAAAACTCTTGTATTATGTTAAAAATCTGCGTTTGATCTTTATGGTGCGGGTCAAACTGACCCTAATTGAATTCAATATAATTCACCAAAAACCAGGTTAAAACAGTACATTTTTAACATTAATAGTTCTCACACATTAAAAAAAAAAACATGGAACATATGATTTTTTAAAAACTATTTTCCATATTTTTTTCACAAACTGTCAATTTTATTAACAGTACTGTAACTATTTTAACATTTAAAACAGAAAAGGTGTGGAAAATCACTTCGATTCTGCGTACTTTCCTGAGGCTCAAACAATACATGCATGGCATTCGCACCAACAAAATCACTTTGATTACCAGACAATTTTACGCCAAAAAAGTACACTATCAATGCAGTGTAAATTTCTTCAGATAAAAGCATCTGCCAAATGCATAAATGTAAACACCCTTCAAGGGTAGTGGAGAATCTGACATTACAAAATACAAAAAATAATGTTTTCTTTGTATCTGTGCAACTGCTTGAAAATGAGGGTCAAACTGATCAAAACGTGTCAAAATGATCCCCGAACATGACTAAAAGTTCTGTATTATGCACGCCAGGCCAGTAGTTTATGATGTCTCTTTGTAAAGAAACACTATGAGATGAGATGATAACCGTACTGCTTTAAACTTTGAAACACGTTTTCAAAAGGTTGCGTTTTCAGGACCCCAAAATGCTTTCAGGACCCCAAAATGTTTTCCGTGTTTAGTTGAAAATGGTGTTGTGACTTGCAAATAGGGTTGGGAACCGAAAATCGATTCCGATTCCAGAATCGGATACTCAAGGTCAGGAATCGGATGCGTGTAGTCAAATTAAAATTTCAATTCCGCCTATCGATTCCTATGCGCTTTTTTTTCTTCATCTGCGAGGACCGGATCTAGCGATCTGTCAGGACTTTGCTCGCTAATCTAAGCGCTCTCCAAAGTTTGGCTACATTTGCGATCAGAAGCCAAAAAAGCTCAGTATAATATCTGTGATAGCTAAACATGCTGCAAGAACATTGTCACCACCAACATGACAAAGCTCTTTAATTTAATAGATCGTTAAAGATCGCGAACACGATTCAAACACCAACGTGATTCTATTCTTAAATTACAATGATTCGTCCGTTTCATTCCTCAACCTTTGGCGTGTGCGATCAATGTTGTGATCACGTGGTTCGTCCGTGCAGCGTACGATCAAACCAGTGTGATTTGAACATTTAAATCTGCGTTCACGCTGCGTTGACCTAAAGAGATCAGCTGTCTGTCATGAATGAAACAGCTTCACAGTCTCTTCAGCCACACAGTATCATTATTTCTGTTACAAACATTCAAATCACAGAAGTGCTGGGATAAAAGTTTATAGTTCGGATATAAACTCTGATGCGTACGGGTAGCAATTAAAATAGAGCAAATCACCTTTTGAAAGTAATTGTACACTTCAAATGAAGATTTATGGATTACATTGTTACACTAGTAGGTGGCGAAAAGGGGCTGTTAAAATGTATCTGTCTTTGAATCATACAAGAGATTCGTTCAAGAATGCTGATTCATTTAATCATTCATTCATAAATTACAAGTGATTTTGTTTAGTTGTCTAATGTTTTTTCTTCAGAATCATGAGAGAACCACAACTTCCATTGGGGGAAGAAAAAAAAAAAAACTAAATTTATCCAGATTCAATAAATGGTTTGCAAAAAAGAGACACAGGATAAATGTTTGATATTATTTAATCACATTGGAATTGAAACTGGGAATCGAAAAGAATCGGAATCGATCAAATTCAAACGATACCTAACCCTACTTGCAAAAGCATCAGTTCTCCTCTCTTATTCAGCTGCTACGAGGCTTGTGTTTGTTTATACGTCATTGTTTCCTCTCACCTGATCTCTCGGAGCAGAAGGAGCTTCTCTGGCGTGTTTAGGACGGCCAGTAGCGGATGCACGAGCGTCGGCAGCCCTCGCTCTGCTAAATACTGTAAGAACAGCACATGAGTTTGGTCTCTGGACAAAGAAACCCTTTAATCACGTGAGATCATCAGGTTGAATCTCTTACCCGCTCACAGATTTCCATGAGCATCACCACATCTTCATCCTCCAGCAATCTGACGGCCATTGCTCGCACCTGTTTTAAAGCATCCCGCTCAGATAAACCAGCATCATACCTGCCTGTAGAAACATTCAGATGTGTCTTATGCTTTAAAGCTTATCTTTATACATGCATTCACTTCAGTGTTAACTCAGCGGTAGAGTTACTCTCACGGGACACTGCACTTATTCGCAATTGCAAAAGTGCATTATTTGCATGTGCTTTAGAGCCTTGCCTGTTAAAACATTTCATTCACGCACTGTTCCGACATGCGCTTATTCTGAGCGCATACACCTGAAGCGACCGCACTAAAAAGCCTGTCAAACAGCATCTGATCACTGAACTAAGTTATATTTTGCGCTAATACTGGCAAAACACACAAGGTTTACATATAGACTCAGTTGGTTATGTCTAAAATGAAAGTAAACAGAAAAGCGGATGCGTGCAGCTCTTAAAGGGACAGTACTAAACATGCAGCCGACTGTCATTAAAGGGATAGTTCACCATAGAATGTATTTTCTGTCATTATTTACATGTTGTCCCAAGCCTGTATTAACATCTTTCTTGTGCTGAACACAAAAAAATATCTTTTGTAGAATGTGGGAAACCAAACAGTAGCTGGTCCACATTGAATTTGATAGCAGGAAAAAATACTATGTAAGCCAATGTGGACCAGCAGCTGTTTGGTTTTCCAGGTTAGTCCCAAGCCTGTATTAACATCTTTCTTGTGCTGAACACAAAAAAAGATATTTTGTAGAATGTGGGAAACCAAACAGTAGCTGGTCCACATTGAATTTGATAGCAGGAAAAAATACTATGTAAGCCAATGTGGACCAGCAGCTGTTTGGTTTTCCAGGTTCTTTAAAATAGCATTTATTTTCAGCAGAAGAAAGAAACTCATTCAGGTTTAAAACAACTTGATGAATGATGGTATACAAATAAAACACTATGACAGAATTGACAGACAGATGACAGAAGTTTTATTTTTGGGTGAAATATTGCTTTAATGTTAATAAAACAACAAAACCCTCACTGCTCATGACTGAAGAACTTTAATACAAAGAATTTTAAGAACAAAGATAAAATAATGACAAAGACTTTTATCTTCGCCCACTTTGGCTTAAATATCTGCCATTCTTTTTTTTTTTGTTACCTTGAAAGGCTTTGTCTTTATAACAGGGAAATTAGTTTGGCTGTAATGCTCAGACAACTTGCAAAATAGTAAAACCAACATGACAAAGAATCATGAAAAAAATCGTGATATTTAAAAAAAAAAAAAAAAATCGTGATATGATATTTTTTCCATATATCGCCCACCCCTAGACCCAAGGTTTGTCTGTATGTGTATTCAGAGCCAGTGAGCAACGGACTTTCATAATAATAAAAAACTGCGTTAATGCGCAATAATATAATTGTCGCGTTAATCAATTAATGCGTTAACGCGATAATAACGCGTACACTTGCCCAGCCCTAATATATATATATATATATATATAAAACATATTTGTTTAGGAATATTTTTAGTATTGAATTAAAATTAAATATATTTATAATGAGCATTTATCTAATTTTTTACTTTGTTTTCAATGCATTTCAATGCAATGAATGTTTTCTGCATGAAGGACACATGCAGTGCTGTTTCAGATTTTGGTAACCGAACATGATGTGTAATATTACCCAGACTGCTCTCTGAGCGTGATCTTGAGGAATCTCGCTTTCGAAACAGACTGAAGAACGTTTTGGAGCGCTGCAGCGGACTGCTTCCCTCTTCTCCTCTTTCTGTCTGCTTCCTCTTCTGTTTCTTTTCCTCTTCTGTGAAAACAGGAGAAACAAAGCGTTTGCATTATCGGTGGTTTAAAAGGGCATGAAATCAGGCAGCCACTTGTTCTGTTAAAAGTGGATTGCTGACAAATGTTACATACGGAGGTATTTGCACTTCAAAAATTAAAGTGCCAGTTTGCAGGTTTGTGTATAAAAAAAAAATTGGAAATAGAATTTCTTCACAAATTTATTTACCATTTTCAAACGGTATAGCAAAATATGACAAAATTATTTTTTTACTGAAACGGAAATTAAAGTTAAATTAAAATGAAAGTGTAAATGAAAAACCTGAAAACCAAAAATAAAGTTTATTTAATAACCAACTGATTAATCAAATTGATTTAATATCAAACACAAATTAGTTGAATATAAAAAATGTAAATAGACATAAGGCAACATATAATTATGTTTCCACTTAAATTCTTCGCTGAAATGTAAACATTTAAACGGTGTCTGTAATAAAAACATTTTGTGACAGATTTAATGAAACTTATGTTAAATAATGAAGACAATAGGTTCAGTAAAAATATAACTATGTAATATAGTGTATATATATTTTTTCTAGCTGACTATTAAGTTTATGGTCATTGAATGTGTTTTCTGAGGTAAACGTGGCATTATTGATCTCAAGCTGTTTTACTGATGTCTTTCCACATTTTAAACACTGATTGATCGATTACATGAGACAAGATTAATTTTAGTAAGTTGTTCTGTATCTTCTAATGTTCATTCATGTTTATTTGCTGCTATAACTAGTAGTAAAGAAAAAGAGATGATCGGTTCACTACAGCGAGTAAGTTATTCTGTTTCTTCTAATGTTCATTCATGTTTATTTGCTGCTATAACTAGTAGTAAAGAAGAAGAGATGATCGGTTCACAACAGCATCAAAACCACATTTAGTGCTTGAACTTAGTGATAAACTTGACAGAATTTGAAATCTGAGTCTCTCTGTTTCATGTCAAAAGTAAGAAAGCTTTAGATTATTGGATGAGGTCTGAAATTTTGCCCGAATATTTTTTTACATTTCATCGTATGTGGCTGCATTTGATCTTAAAATACCACAAAACCCCACCTGACACAGTCACATGACTTTGAGTTCGGCGTATCGGAGGACTCGGTCGGCTGAGAGCCATGAGCAGAGATGTTTTCCTGCCTTCCCTTCTTCTCTCTCCTAACTCTCCTTCGCTCCGGATCACAGAGTCCTGCAGCAGTTCTGTGGGTCCTCGGCTCACCGTCCGCAGCTGCTCTGACCGACTGTCACTATCAGTGGAATCTGGACGAAACTGGGCCTCAGTGGAGCCGCAGACGTCGGACATTTTGGCTCCTAAGGGCAGAGTCGCTTGAGAGAGTCTGCTCACAGAGCCGAGGGGTGTCCCGGAGGACAGAGAGGAGGTGGATGAGCGAGACTCCGACCCTTGTGAGGATGAATAGACGGTTCCGCTGCCCGCTGGAAGAGGTCAAAGGTCGGTGTAGGGGAGAGCAGGGCACAATGTAACACTTTTTGACTTTCTCAGTTTGTGTAACTCTACATGGGGTTCAGAGTATAATTTTTTTTATCCACAGTAATTTCACACTTGTCTATTACAAATACGTCGCTTTGTTTCATAATTACAGTGCATACATTTTACCCTCAAAAAATGGAAGTGAAATGTGACAACATGCCCCGTAGGTGGGGTACATTGTAACATCTGAGGGGCACGTTGTAACATGACCATATGGCAGCCTAAAACCTTATCTGATCTAATGAAAAAAACATACAAGACAAAATAAAATATTTTGTCAATAAAATAAAACGATTAACTTTTTCAAATAAAATAATGGCGTTTTTTAAGAATTAAAAATACTCTGATTTTGGAGTTTGACAATGAACACATTGCAACCATGCTTGGGACGGCCCACAGAAACCAGCAAAAATGCTTTACATAAAAATAATAATTTCTGAACATTAAACATTGTCTGTCAGAGTCTTTATTCACCCGTTTCTCGTGGTTTCTCATTACGATTCATTAAAGTAAATAGTGTAAATTACATCGATAATGTCATAGAATCTGCGCAACTGGAATTTAAAACTGGTTAGTGTCTTCTGCCAGTTAGCGAAGCATTAAAAAACGATCTAAACTGATAAATAACAGATTGGAGATTTAAAATAATAGCAGATTTGCCTCATTTTAAATAAATACTAAAAACTGAGATGAAAAATGTACTTAAGCCAGAAATGTACGTTTACTATGGTAGAATAAATGTTCAGCGATATCTTCAAAAGATTTTTGAATTTTGGCTTCACTTTTTTCTCTATATAGTGTTGATTTGGCAACTAGTAAATACCATGAATTTTGTTATGCTAGCATGTGTGGAAATATTCAAACCACGTGTTACAACTAACCCTGCGTTACTTTGTGCCCCGCGCTCCCCTACTTAGAGATGAACACTTTATATTGTAAAAAGAAGCTCACTTTTATTCACCCAGCTGAGTTCTGTCACCATTTCTTTGTAGGCTGGATATCTGCCTGCTTCCTGTGAACAAAACATCTTATCACATTCATACACAAGCTGTCTGTCACTGCAGAACATCATTTTGTTTGTCATCTTTTTAAACTTTTTTGTCAGCCAAAAACCTAAAATATTTTCAGAAGTTCCCTTGAGATTTTAAGTCAATATTTCAAATATTTATCAACAAATTCACATGTTTACAGTTCTCTGATGTCGGGTAATGACCACATGACGTGCAGGTAAACAAATTAAATATTTAATCTTTTTTTAGTAAGTGTTTTATTTGGATTGTTTTTATTATAAAATTGTTCATTTTAATTTAACAGTTTTGTGGTTTCATTTTTTGTGTTTTATTTGTTTCGTTTTTTACATTACATTCTTATCATTTAATTAATATTTCAATAAATTAACAATACATTCATGTTCATGGTTCTCCGATGGTAAATAGTCACATGCAGTTAAACATAAAATATTTGATCTTTTATTATTTTAATAATTGTAATATTTTATCTCTGTTTTGTTTTGTTTTGATTTTAAAATTATTTTAATCTGACATTTTTATAATAAGTTTAATTTTAGTGTTTTCCTTTAATTGTTTTGATTTTAAAATTATTTATATTTATATATTTTTATATCATATTTCAAAAATTAACCAACACATTTGTATGTTTATGGTTCTCTGATGTTGATTAATGGTCGCATGACATGCAGATAAATACATTTTCAAATAAATATAATATATAAAACATTTATTTTTAGTAAGCATCTTAATTGGCCATTTTTATTTTTAAATGATTGTTTAATTTTACATTTTTAATGATTTAATGAATTACTAGCTTTTCATAATTTTTTGGGGAAAACTGTGTTAGACAAACTTGACTGTTTTGTCTGTACTGGCAAAAAAATAAGTATTAACAAATAGCAGTATGTCCTTATTTGTTCCAAACGGTTTATCTGGTCATGAATGTTTGGAAAGGTGGCGTGTTTAATATGGACACAAAGAGTGAATGAGTTTGCAGGAAAACCTGATCCAGGAACAGAGTGAATAATGCACAGCCTGACACACACAGAAACCAGAGCGCCACATCAGCCATCTGCTGTGTGTGTGTGTGCGCGTGTGTGTGGGTGTGTGTGTGTGTGTGTGTGTGTGTGCGTGTGTGTGCGCGTGTGTGCTCATGTGTGTGTGTGTGTGTGTGAGACTCACTTTAATAGTCAGGATGATATGAGGCTGACTCTTCAGCACTTCCACTGCTCTGTAATGGTTGATGTTCTCAAAGCTCACGCCATTGGCCGACAGGATCTGATCCCCCATCTTAACTCCGCCCTGTTCTGCCAGACCCCCGGGATCCAGCCTGCAAACAGCCAATCACACACAACACTAGAGCTGAGTTCACATTGAAACACTTTCACATTTTCACACTGTATCAGAACTTGAGTTTTTTTTTTAATTCCTATATTGTGGCCTACTGGGTCTGATGTGGTTTCTAGGGCTTAGGTTTAAAGGGGTCATCGGATGCCCATTTTCCACAAGCTGATATGATTCTTTAGGGTCTTAATGAAAAGTCTGTAACATAGTTTGGTTAAGTGTACACACACACACACACACATCAGTGTACACACACACACACATCGGTGTACACACACACACACATCAGTGTACACACATACACACACATCAGCGTACACACATACACATAAGCATACACACACACACACACACACATCAGCGCACACATACACATCAGCGTACACACACACATCAGTGTACACACACACATCAGGGTACACACTTACACATAAGCATACACACACACACACACACACATCAGCGCACACATACACATCAGCGTACACACACACATCAGTGTACACACACACATCAGGGTACACACTTACACATAAGCATACACACACACACACACACACATCAGCGCACACATACACATCAGCGTACACACACACATCAGTGTACACACACACATCAGGGTACACACTTACACATAAGCATACACACACACACACACACACACACACATCAGTGTACACACATACACACACATCAGCGTACACACATACACATAAGCATACACACACACACACACACACATCAGTGCACACATACACATCAGCGTACACACACACATCAGTGTACACACACACATCAGCGTACACACATACACATAAGCATACACACATACACACACATCAGCGTACACACACACACATCAGTGTACACACACACACACACACCAGTGTACACACTTACACATAAGCGTACACACACACACACACCAGTGTACACACACAACCTCTTTAGCACAGAACAATATCAACAAGCCACGCTTATTTACTGCATGTAGTGCTTTATACAATACAGAATGTTTCAAAGCAGCTTCACAATAATAAACAGGAAAATAACTGAAGACAACAGTGTCATTATTAAAATCAATAAAGTTCAGAGTTGTTTAATGTTGTGAACCCATGAACCAGTGTATATATGGTATTAATCTGATCTCAGATCAGTTTTATAATCTAGACACTTTTAATTGCACATTTGTATAATAAAAAAAAGAAGTAGTAGTTCTTAATTGTCTCTTATTGGCCTGAATAGAGACCTTCCATAGAACAGACCAGGGTTAATATAGTTAACTAAAATTGTACTTTAACTGAAATAAAATAAAATATATATTAAAAAAATTATATTATTTTAGCTAGTTGCCAAGGCAACATTTCTCATTTTTATTTAGTTTCTGATGTACTAAATTAAAACAAACAAATAAATAAAATGAAAAATGTACAGACGTAAAAAGACAAAAACACAACAAAATTACTAAAATTAAAATGAAAACAGAAAGTATATTTAAAAAAATTATAAAAATAGTATCTCAATGCTACTAAAATAACCCTGGAACAAATTAAACAAGCCCTACAAATTAATAAATAAAACACATATTATATACTGACACTTTATATTTAATGGTATTTGATTTATTTTATTTCCCTGTTTAGTTAACAGGGACATTGTATATTAATAAAACATTTCTATAAATGTACCAGAATTAGCCAAAGGCTATTTTTCATCCGTAGTCCATGGACTACGATGATTTGTAGATTGCATTTAATAGATTACACACTTTTAATAAAACATGCAATTGGTTTGTAAAAGCTGTCTTAATGCATGCTTGTTTTGAATTTTTATTGTGTTTACATTAATTCCACCATAGCGCTGTCAAACGATAAATCACGATTAATAACATCCAAAATAAACGTTTTTGTTTGCATAATATATGTGTGTGTACTGTGTATATTTATTAAGTATATATAAATACACACACATACAGTATATATTTTGAAAATATTTACAGGTATTTATATGTCTATACTTATATTCATATTATCATAGGGAGCTCCCTGAAGACTCTGACCTGCGGCGCTGTTTTTCTGCACTCTGCTGATGAAGACGCCGAGTCCGTGTTCAGATCCTCCTCGCACACTGAAGCCCAGCTGACCATCATCCCCCCTGATGACCGTCAGCCTCACGCTCTCACCTGCAGACAGACACACGCTCAGCGCTCAGCTCTCAGCGCTTCATTCAGAGTCACTCCACCTGCTTCACCTGCTTCACCTGTCTCAGCCTCCAACAGAGAGCTCCCTGAAGACTCTGACCTGCGGCGCTGTTTTTCTGCACTCTGCTGATGAAGACGCCAATTCCGTGTTCAGATCCTCCTCGCACACTGAAGCCCAGCTGACCATCATCCCCCCTGATGACCGTCAGCCTCACGCTCTCACCTGCAGACAGACACACGCTCAGCGCTCAGCTCTCAGCGCTTCATTCAGAGTCACTCCACCTGCTTCACCTGCTTCACCTGTCTCAGCCTCCATCTGTGAGTCTCTGTCCTGTCCGAGACGATGAGCTGATCCCAGAAGCTCACTGCCACACAAACACAGACATCCATCAATCAAAACGCACAAAAACACTGGTGGTACAGGATGAAAATATTACTAAAAAATCACTAAAATGCCCCAGATGTTTCAAATATACATCGCATGCATAATTATTAGGCACGTTGACATTCTGATGATACGTGACCCTGGAGTACAAAACCAGTCATAAGGGTCAATTTTTTTAAATTGAGATGTATGCATCATCTGAAAGCTGAATAAATAATCTTACATTGATGTATGGTTTGTTAGGATCGGACAATATTAGAAAACTGGAATCTGAGGGTGCAAAAAAATCAAAATATTGAGAAAATCATCTTTAAAGTTGTTCAAATGAAGTTCTTAGCAATGCATATTACTAATCAAACATTACTTTTTAGGTAGGACATTTACAATATATCTTCATGGAACATGATCTTTACTTAATATCCTAATGATTTTTGGCATAAAAGAGAAATGTATAATTGTGACCCATACAATGTATTGTTGGCTATTGCTACAAATATCCCCCAGCGACTTAACACTGCTTTTGTGCTGCAGGGTCACATATATGTTTTCCAAGCACATTTGACCAATTCCAAACCACATCAATCTTAATAACTACTATTAATTTTGTATTTAATCATTTATGACTGATATATAATTGTCCATGACGGCTGGAAGTGAAAAACTCCTTATATTATTAGACATGTTTTCTTTTACTGAACTAATGCAATACAGAAAATGCAAAGTTAAGCCAGGACCATTGGACAGTGAAATGCTCAGTGGGTCAGCGGGGTCAGAAAAAGACAGGTGGAGAAGAAAAGACATGTTCACTGCAAAAAAATTGAATAATTAGGTGTGAAACCATCAGGAAATGGTCCCGCTGTTCAATGGTCCTGTCTTAACTTTGCATTTTCTGTATTGCATTAGTGTGGAATATTTCTCATGGGGATTTAATCATTTTTTGACATCTCAGTCTGAGTTAAACCTCTTTTTTGGCTCATTTTTAAATGTATTGTTTTTATCCCGTGGCGGAAACAAGCTACTATAGATATCTGATGTCTGCAGAAGCACTAAGCCTTCATTAGACTGGGATTATATATTATGAAAATACAGATAGAAAAGTCAGAATTAGAGCTTATGATCAATTGTTGTGGTTACAGCTATTACTGTATTGGATGTGATGTACCATTAAAAGTCATAATTGTTTCAATTAATTGATTCAACTATTTGACCTTTGTTTTATACGCTTAGAAAAATGTGACCCTGAAAATCAGTTTTAAATTAAATTGTGTGTGTGTGTGTGTGTGTGTGTGAGAGAGAGAGAGAGAGAGAGTGTGTGTGTGTGTGTGTGTGTGTGTGTGTGTGTGTGTGTGCGTGTGTATATGCTTAGAAAAATGTGACCCTAAAAATCAGTTTTAAATTAAATGAAATATATTACAGCAGTATAGTATCAGAATACATAGTCTTTACGGTACTTGTTGTAGTTGTGATGATCGAAGCAATTCACTGTTACTTTCAGACTCTTTTATTACTCGTGTAATTACTCGTGTTGTGGTGATGTAAATAATATTAATTGTGTGATTTTTGGTTGATTCGTGACGTCATGTTGACGTAGCGCGTGACGTAATCCCTCATTCAGCGCCTCAGACGCTCAAACTAACACAAACAACCCCTAACTTACATCTCAAAATAGCTGTCGATATACAAAGAGTGTGTAATATGTTCACACTCACAGCGATAAGCAGCGGAGCCGTTTACGTTAACGTTACGTTATATTTCAGAATAACGGGAGTTAGGGTCATCCGCTCCGTGCTGCTTCAGTCACGAAATATCACACCGGAGAAATACCGTTATAGAACTCTCTGATCGACACTTTCACCGACAGATGAAACTTTTACCTGTGTGAGCTGTAGCTGTTTCCGCACAAACAACCCCTAACTTACATCTCAAAATAGCTGTCGATATACAAAGAGTGTGTAATATGTTCACACTCACAGCGATAAGCAGCGGAGCCGTTTACGTTAACGTTACGTTATATTTCCGAATAACGGGAGTTAGGGTCATCCGCTCCGTGCTGCTTCAGTCACGAAATATCACACCTGAGAGACGCTACAGGTGAATAAATACCGTTATAGAACTCTCTGATCGACACTTTCACCGACAGATGAAACTTTTACCTGTGTGAGCTGTAGCTGTTTCCATGCTGAGCTGCGCATCGTACTTTCTGTTAACCGTCCTCTGCTGTGACCCGCTCTCTGATTGGCTGCAGTGAGAAGTTTGCGAGATTCCTATTGGACGCCACACCTGTCAATCTTCACTACGAGGCGGATCCTGTATTTATAAATTGTCTCATATCATCTGCGAGACTACTTTAAAATATTTATTTGTTTTTTATTTTTACGTTTAAATATTTAATTAAATATTTACATTAAAATATATATATATATTTAATATACATGTAATATTAATTAGACATTTAATTAATTTAATATTTGTAAGCTTATTTGTTTGTCACACCACAGTGATTTATTCCGTTTATTTCATAGCGTGCACATGATGATCTACACTTTAACAGAGCACTGAAGTGCAAAGAATGAAAGAAAATAAGAGGAATATAAAAAGACATTTCAGTATTTAAAACATTACATATGTTTGTATCATCAATAATTTGATTATTTTAAATTAACGCAGAGTTGTGCAGTAGAGAAAAAAAATTACAATTCAATCTTGTGTGTGTGTGTGTGTGTGTGTGTGTGAGAGTGTGTGTATATATATATATTTAATATACATGTAATATTAATTAGACATTTAATTAATTTAATATTTGTAAGCTTATTTGTTTGTCACACCACAGTGATTTATTCAGTTTATTTCATAGCGTGCACATGATGATCTACACTTTAACAGAGCACTGAAGTGCAAAGAATGAAAGAAAATAAGAGGAATATAAAGACATTTCAGTATTTAAAACATTACATATGTTTGTATCATCAATAATTTGATTATTTTAAATTAACGCAGAGTTGTGTAGTAGAGAAAAAAAATTACAATTCAATCTTGTGTGTGTGTGTGTGTGTGTGTGTGTGAGAGAGAGAGAGAGAGAG